GAATATTGAATATTTGATTTCCTCTTCCAAAATTAAAATTAATAATATTTTAAAATATATTATTATATTTTTCAATAAAAAAAAATTAGGAGAAATATTTAAGATAATTTAATATTTTTAATTTATAATTTTATTACTTTAATTTTTATTTAAATATAATTCTAATATATTTATTACGTCACCGTTCAATTCCGGTTTAACCCCACGGTTGAACCGGTAATCCGTCCACCCTATCTCTTTTCCGGTTTGCACATTGCTGTGATTTTTAAAACATTGCAAGGCAATCAAAAACCAAGATAGTTTTGATTGTTGTCCATTTGGTATGCTTCTGTGCACTTAAAGCTTCTATGCATGAGACTGCATACACCAAGTATTAATTCCAAGTTTCCATCAATATGAAAGAAAAATAAAATCCCAAATAGATCTCTTCTCCTAAAGTACTCATGAGAAACTCACCTGCCCATTCACATGATCTTGTCAATGTCCTAACCTATATTCATGAGCTCACCAATCTCCTTTTCTTTTATTGCATTCACTGCCCTCTTGCGTTCAACGTCCATCAAACACAACATGATTATAAATGTAACATATATTATTTATATAGTATTATTGATGTGACCCAAATAAATGTATATATATATAAAAAAAAAAAACTTTTTTAATGTATGACAAACAAGCACTAAATCAAAATTCACTTATGATCAATCAAAAACTAAATAATTAAACTTAAAAACATTTTCACTTCACTAAGTTTTTTAAAAAAATTATGTATATTAAAAGTTAGATTAACACAATCTAAATATTAGGCGTCAAAATAACACAATATTCATATTTTAAAAATAAAAAATATAATTATATCTTATTTATATATTTATTATCTACTAGTGACGTCATCCAAAATGGTCTTACTACAAATGAAACATTTCACTAAGTTGTCATTAAGTTAAAAAATAGTGCCAAATTATTAGGAATCTCAATGTAATTTTTAAATATTTTTTTACATTTTTACATATATCAAGGTTAACAATTATCCATTCAGGGATCAGTAGCAATTTTTTATTATTAAATATTAACAAATTTAAAAAAAACACGCACACACAAATTATATGTTATAATAACTTAATAATTTTTTATGATAATCATATGTTTTTTTTTTTAATCAAATGTTTATGTATTTTTTATTTTATTTTTTTGACCTTGACGTAGTTAGAGGTATCGAGAGTGAAGCGATGGTAAATTCCAGCGGGCAAGACAATGAGATCGCCGGCCTTAATCCAGATGCGAATCCAACGGTCGTTCTTGTCCCTCACATCGAAATACCCACTCCCCTCCAAGCAGTACCGAATCTCTTCGTCTCCATGGATGTGCTCCGTGTAGAAGTTCCTCAGCTTCTCTTCGTAATTCTCCATTTTCTCAGGACACAGGTCCAACATATCCTTCAATTCAAACCAAAACAACAACACAAAAAGCAATATGCATATTACTAATTCATTCATGTCCTGAATCGGAAATTTTGGGGAATAATTGAATAGTAAGGGAGTACTACTGTGTAACTGTAGCCTCTGTCTTCTCTGATCTTCTTCAATTCCTCGTCGTTTTCGTAGTGCTTTGGGTTTAAATGCCAGTATAGCACGCCCAGGTCTGTGCCACAATTAATTCATCAGACAGATGTATATGCGCTTAGAGAGAGAGAGATAAAGAGAGAGAGAGAGACCTGCTAAGTGGTGGAGTGAAACGAACTCTTTAGGGTTGCGATGATGAGGGAGCCTCCGATCCTCATCGTTCTCTTCCATGAACCATGCCTATTATACATAGATTTTTATTTTATTTATTAGTAACACATAAAACTGTGAAGTAAAATTTTGATCGATTGAGAGAGGGAGTAGTGACCTCAATCGCCATGAGAGTAAACACGCAGTCCTCCAAGAACTTGAGCTGAATTTGGAGTGTAGAAGAGCGCAAGCTGATTAAACGTCAAGGAGGGACCTTATTAATCTCGATGGTGCTGCACAAAAATCAGTTTGTGATTCGGGATTTACCACGTGTACGGCTCATTTCAATTGCTATTTTGTGGCATGTGTTTCTTTGTATGCCTATCTCTCTCTCCTCTGGTAAAATATCTTCTTTATTTTTTTAGTCTGATTTTTGAATTAATTTAATTTGACTAAATTAATTCTCTTTGGAACACACTTTTTAACTTTTTTTTAAGAGAAAAATTAATATAATTATAAATTTAATATGACTTTTTATTTTATTGACTTAATTAATCTATTTTACCTTTTAGTGTTTTTCTAGTTTGACTACAAATCTAATTGACTTGTCAAACTAGAGTTAAAAGTGAAGCGTTAATACAATTATTTATTTATTTATTTAAATTTAGGTATCAAACATTTTATACATTTTATAAAATATCAAACTACAAATCTAATTCACTTGTCAAACTAGAGTTAAAAGTGAAGCGTTAGTACAATTTATTTATTTAAATTTAGGTATCAAACATTTTATACATTTTATAAAATATCAACAATGTATTAATTTAATGAATTTTACCTTTTCAAACAAGTTTAGACACACTTATTTATAAGTCATTTTTCAAACACTTATAGTAGGTTAAGTCATATGTAATTTTTTACAGAGTCTCAAGTCCTATTTAGATAAGAATGTATTTCACAATATCCTACATAAACGTAACGTGATGTGACACTTAACGTGACACCTATATAAACGTAACGTAACGTGACACCTACATAAACGTAACATGACACCTACATAAACGTAGCGTAACGCGTGTACGTAGCGTAACGTACGTTTATATAGGTGTCATGTTACGTTTATGTAGGTGTCATGTTACGTTTATATAGGTGTCACGTTACATTACGTTTTTGGTAACATTCAATTTCCTATATATGGTTTTACTATTATTTATGATATTAACAATTAATATTGAGGGTAAATGTATCAACAAACTTCCCACAGGGCTTGTGGGAACATAAATTTTTTAATATGAACATATGTAGCATAAGTCTCCTTAATAGGACTTATAAATAATTTTCTCATAATATTACACCTAATTGTACACCAAAAAAAAAAAAAAATTGGTGACGATCTACAAAATTTACTACACAGATTTGGGCCTTGAATATATTTAGCTCATTTTGGGCTCATGTTTTTGAACAACTTCAGCTGAATAGCATTAGCCCATAGCAACTATGGCCATCCTTGCTGGGTTCAAAACTCTTTTAACCCAAACCCATGAACAAGTTTGCTTCTTCGTTTTATTTTGTTAAAAATGTTTTAAACAGAATTCTTCACCGAAATAATAATATCAAAGTGACATTTATACAATTAAGAACTATGTTGGAAGGCACTTTGTCTAAATGGTTGTGTTACCACTACAGGAAATATAGTATTTAACGACGTTTATTTAACGGCGTTTTTTTAAACGTCACTGTTTTTAACATTTAACGGCGTTTTATAAACGTCGTATTTTATTTTGACTAAAACGGTACCGTTTAAGGAATTGAAGTCGTTTTTTGAACGCCTTCACATGTGTTAGAATAATATGTTTTTCCTCGCTCTCACTCTTATAGTCTCTGAGAATCAGGACCCTGCTCTCTCTCTCTCTCTCTCTTCAAGCCTCATTTTGAATTTGGGAAACCTTCAGTCTCAGAGAAACCAATCCCGCAAATCTCTCATTCACCCGATCGCTCGCTCTCTCTCCAAACCCTTCAGTCTCAGAGATTACGATTCAACCTTCTTCAGCTCGATTTCATCTCAGATCCAATCTCAGAGTGATTTCGATTTCGAAGTTCTCTCTCTCTCTCGATTTCGAAGCTCCACCGCCACCACATCTGCATCGTTGACTAAGGTAAGCACCACCGTCTACAATCTCAATTTCGTATTCTCTCTCTCTTGCTCTCTCTCTCTCTCTCAAGCTCTTCTTTCCGTCGATTGTTCTCCTAGGGTTTACATATGTTTAAGATTTGAGATTTGCGATTTCTTTTCCAAAAACATATGTTTCAGATCTGAGATTTCTCATTCAAAAATATGTTTGAGATTTGAGATTTCTTATTCAAAAACACATGCCGAACGTCGCTGGCGCTGGGCGCCAATGAAGTGGCTGAGAAAGAAGTCACTTAGGTGCTGAAAAGTGGAGACAGAATCGGTCGGCAGCTGACTAAACGACTGTCGGGACGACCCTACTGGCTTCTCCCTCGGGGGCAGGTGTTTAGACCGATGGATGTGGGGCCTAAGGTAGCGGGTTCATATCTTGGGGAGGGGGTCGCAAGCCCTCCAAGTTGGATGGGTGGAATTGTTGGATGGGATGGCACGGGTCTCGCTCTCGGTTGGGTGGGATATCTTGAGGTGGTGGAGGAGGCATAGGAAGGTCTCGTTGAAGCAAAGCATTGATCAGGGCTTGGTTTTGTTCGGCTAGGCGGTTAATGTTGTTGGTGAGTTCTTTGAAGTACTGCAGTGGGTTGTTTGGGTTAGGAGGGTCGGCTTGGGGGTCGGCAACGTTGTGCTAAGAAACCATGGATCTAGTTGTGACCATCCACCTGGGTGGGTGGTAGGTAAGGATTATTGGGAATGGGTCTCCGGCGACAATGTGCACAGTTGCCACACGAAGCAAAAAGTTTCCCACAGACGGCGCCAATTGATGATACCACACGCTCCACATAGAACGGGTCGAATTGATCCACGTTTCCCAAACCGTTGCCCGAGTGTTGAGCCCACAGCAAAACCTGCACAAGAGTTCAACGGGGAACGGGGAGTCCCCCAGCAAACCCTCCAATGAGCAAGTTAGAGAAGTGAGAGTAATAAAATGTAGAAATAGGGTGGTGATAGAGAACTTAACATTTTCCTTGTCTTAGAAACCTGTTTATATCATTTGCTCATCATTTCCTTATCCATTCCGACCTGTCACGTTGGCCGAAAGTCTACATTCTAGTTTACCTTTTTCAAGGTGAAGTCGTTCTGTTCCGTCGAGGGGGAGTTATCGCAATAAATGCTACAGGGAATCTCATTCATAGCTGATGTGTGGTGCAATAACTTTATAGGATCTTTGTCTGTTTATGTGGCTGGTTCTTTTCCTGACACGTGTTTAGATGTCATTGATCCTTAATGCCATGTTGAGCTCTAACAATGTTGAATTTTAATATTTAAATTATATATTGAACTCTAAGTGGTGAGCTAAAAGCTCCTATAGGGCCACCTGTGTCAATACTAAATAAATAAATGCCGAATACATCTAGTTAGTTTGCATGGCTTCAATACTCCTACAGATAAAAAGTTCAAGTTGTGACCAAAATTTGATAGTCATGTGACCCCACGCGTTGAAATCTTTTAGGCTAGTCAAAGGGTTGAAGTCTCTCATGTCTCTTTTCGCTTATATTTGTATATATTTATTCATACTTAAAAGCAAAAATAATTATTGTCACTTAAACAGTCATCAATATTTCTCAAAAATAATCTAATTAACGATAATTTAGATAGACTATCCTTTAAATTATTATAACATGTGTAATTCAAACATGTAACTATCAATATTTGATCAATTTAATTTTTTACATGAATTATCTTTTCAATAAGTCATATAAAATGAATAATTCAAACCAACGAGATGAGTATCTAAATGGATTCACCAAACCTAACAATCCCTCTCTAATTAGATCACTAACTAAAGAGAAGTCATCTCTCCTTCAAAACTCTGTGTATAGTTCTTTGTACATGTTCTCATTCCTAGTGGTTGCATTGGATTCTATGAAGTGTTCTATCATTTGAAGAGAAAGTAGTTGCTTTCAGTAGGCTTCCCTCGACATATTTTTCTCCGTGGGGGTGAATAAAAAAACTCAATTACTACAGATCTTTAAAAAAATATTATACTCCAATTTTCACTCTTAAGTATATTTAGATATCAAGAATCTGATGTGTTGCTCTGCACTATGAGATCTAGATTGTGCTTTCAGTAATTGGTCTCAGTGATTTCATCTATGTTTATATTGTGTTCGATCTGTCATCGATGTGGTTATGGATTTTGATTTTTGTGAATTCGTGTGTGATTGATTGATTCTATTTGGAATTGTGGAATTCACTGATCTGAGTCGACGTGAGAGACTGGACATTGTGATCGTGTGCTGGGCAGAGCTTGTGGAGAATGAAGTCAAAGTGAGAGACTGGACAGAAGTGGATAGCGAATTGCTCAGTGTTAAAGCAGGTACCATCTGTGCGTCTGAATCTACTTAATCTTGGAGCACAAGTGGTTGTTTGTCCCATGGTTTTTTATCCTTTTGGGTTTTCCACGTTGAATAGTATCTCTCCATGTGATTGCTTATTTCTATTTATTAATTGGCTCTTAACTCAGTAAAATCTAGTAAATCTATTAATTTTAAAGACTCCTATTTAAGTTTTTTAGAATTTGTTGATAGATAGTAAATTTTGATCATAGTGAATGCTTTTAACTACATGTCTAGTGAGTATTAATCTTTCTCCTGACCATATTCCTCTCCCAGAGAAGTAAAGAAGTTATATTTTTATTAATACTGTTTATAAAAGCACCTATAATGAGGTGCATCGTTTTTCATGTTTCTGACTAGTAATGTGTGCTTCAGGTCAAGGATCGTCTTTGATTATATGTGTGAGAATATTGACTGGCTACACAGATACATTATACAAGGACTTGAGTGGTAAGACACTACTTCAGCTTCCAAAACTCTATGGTGCAGGCCATAGACAGGAGAGTTACAATATGTACCTTTTCTGGATCACAATGTTTGACACACTATGGCAGAGCCTTGTTCTCTTCTATGTACTTTTATTCACCTATAGGGAGAGCACTATTGACATATGGGGCATGGGAAGTTTGTGGACGATTGCAGTTGTTATCCTAGTTAATATGCACTTGGCAATGGACATTAAGCGGTGGTTGCTACTTACTCATTCTTCAGTTTGGGGATCAATAATCATTACTTATGCCTGTGTGGTGGTATTGGATTCTATACCCATCTTCCCCAATTACGGGTTAGTGTTTTGATTCAAATAGGACCACTGCATATTTTGTCCATTTCACAATGTGGAGCTAATATGTTTTTTTGTCTTCATCAGGACAATATACCATCTGGCAAAGTCACCTGCATATTGGCTCTCCGTCTTGGTTATAATAGTCTTAGCATTACTCCCTCGCTTTATTTGGAAAGTTATACATTAAAATTTTTGGCCTTCAGATATCCAGATAGCTAGAGAAGCTGAGATACTGAGAAAAGAACCTAATTATTTTGGGTCTAAGCCAGATCTAGGTTCCAGTTAATATGTATATTATTAACTGATCCAATTTGCTATGACCTGGCCAGAGTTTGTCCAGCCAAATGTGAAATTTAATGGTAAGTTCAGTTTCATTTATACATCTATTCCTTTTCTGTTTCATTCAGGGTACCTTCCTTGCTCTCTGTCTCTGTGGTTGGAGAAAAATAATTCTCACCTATGGGCATGAGCTTTCTCGAACAGTAACTAGCCATATGTTAAACCCCATGGTCAACCCATTTTCTCACTTTCATCATCATCATCTTTCTCTTTAATTGAATTCTGCACTTGTGTGTACATATCATGTTAAATATGTAAATGTCTAATTAGTATACCTTGTTAAAAGAAATATGTACTTGTGTATACATATATATATATATTAGCATTTGGGCCCATGCAATGCGTAGCAATTCGTTTTGGTCCTCTTTTTTTTTGTTGTAAAATTCATAATATGAATTTCTATTTCTGTTTAAATAGAGATATGGTTGAGGGTAGGCAGTTGAAACTGTCATGATTTTTCTCTGAACTTCGGTGGCGACTTGATATTTACATGTTTATCCCTTTTATGATGAAAAGCAGAGACATATGGCATGGTTTTTCTGGACAAAGAGGTAGCGTGACGGACCTTAAAATATGTGTTCACATTATATTATATAATAATATAAATAGTATAGATGTATGTATTGTAAGTTCAAGGAAACTTATACCATGAGAAATAACACACAGATTTCATGATAAAATGGGCAGTTCAGAGATCAGTTAGTCTTCCTACCACATCATGTAGCGGTAATACATCACATGGCTCAGTTTCAGCTGGTACGTATAAGTTTTTGACTTTTTAGTAGTATTTGTATAGTATACTTCAATTGAAATCAAATGGACATGACTATCACAGTTTATTTGTTTATTTGTTTGATCAATTACAGAGAATTTTATTAATCATTAAATATGATTTTATATTATTTTTGGTGATTGATCTCCTTGTGCCATTGTGCGATGTGTTCATTGTTTTGTTCAATTACGAAGGAATCTTATCATGACAAATTGACAGCTTGTCTCAAACCACCCCCACTCCCTCTCTTACTTTTGCAACTGCTTGTCTCTTACTACATCAGCATAATTTGCCAATGCCTGAACTCTCCTCTAAAACCTCTTGATATGCTGCCACTCCTATAACATCAAAAGGATTTGACCCCTATCAAATGCATAGAAATATTACAGAAACTAGTGGGGTGGCACTCATTACATGAGTGCAAGTGCCACAAAGAACCACTAAGTTAGCCAATTTTTGAACAATAGTGCATAGAGAGAGAGAAAGAGGTGTACTAAGTAGCCTCTTAATTAGGAAAGAGAATTTTTAAAACTAACTGGGAGTTCTAGGCAGTTGTGGGGAGTTCTTTAGAATAATGTGTTTACTTGAACATTTACCCTCAAATGAATATAGAAGTAAAAGGATTTTAATAATGCATAATTTAATTTTCTTTGGATAGTTTAGGGAAATGAAAAATATACACAAAATTAGTGTTCTACTTTTATATATTAGCAAAGATGACATGCTTGACAACTGAAGTAAAAACGAAACTAAAGCTATTAAAAGTACACATGATGATAATATATATGCATCAATTATGAAGTGCACAATGCTCTAATGGAGATGCCATTAAAGTTGTTGCATGTTGACATTGCTAATATTGGTGCCAAATTTAGTACAAGTCTTGGCAGATTGTTAGATTTTGGAATTGCTATCAACGGTTAGATGCATTTTCTATTATTTATGATTACTGATATCAACTTCTCTCTCTCTCTCTCTCTCTCTCTCCCCCCCCCCAAAAAAAAAAAAATTGTATTCATGTTTTTAAGTTCAGGGAACAACAGCGATAAATGGAAAAAGTGCATTGGAGACAATGATGGAGAGGCTGGATTAATGATGGAGAGGTTGGATTACAAGTTAACAAAACTCAGATTCCGAATATAATTGCAGAGACGCAATGCATAGAGAGGGGCATCCAATTGTGGTGAACTAGGTTGATATGGTAGGAAAATGATTTGTGTGAATGTGGTTATTGTGAATGAGAATAAGAATATCAAGTTGGTTCAAATGTCCAGATTTGTATTTTTGGTGAACTCAGATTCCTATTTTGGCTCAAATAGAGGGACATCCAATTTTGGTGACTCCTTAATGTAATTCAAACGATTTGTGTGTGAATGTTTTTTTTTTTTTTTTGGTGACTCCTTAATGTAATTCAAACGATTTGTGTGTGAATGTTTTTTTTTTTTTTTTGGTGACTCCTTAATGTAATTCAAACGATTTGTGTGTGAATGTTTTTTTTTTTTTTTTGGTGACTCCTTAATGTAATTCAAACGATTTGTGTGTGAATGTTTTTTTTTTTTTTTTGGTGACTCCTTAATGTAATTCATTTGATAAGATTTTACTATGTGAATGGGAGTTATTATTTCATATTAGTGTTATTTTTCAGTTTTATTATAGGTTTTTTTTGGGTTCAATAACCTAAAATTAGCACAATTAAAAAAAGGGGCTATCACGGCGTTTCTAAAAACGTCGTTAAATAGCATCAGATATACAATGGCGTTTTAAAAACGTCGCTAAATAGCATGATGACGTCATGTTACAGTTGGCAGAACTTTTAGCGGTTTTTAGAAAACGCCGCCTATTGGCATATAGCGACGTTTATACAGCGCAACAGAGTTATAGCGACGGCCGCATCTTCGACGTTTGGTGCTAAACGCCACAAAAATATTTAACGGCGTTTTTAGGACCTATTGCGGCGTTTTTTAAACGCCTCTAAAACCAGAATTTCCAGCAGTGTACACACATCAATTGGTATATCAATTAGTGTACCAACAAATATTATGATATTATCATTGCAAAGGTATGACCTCACCTATTATACAAATTATAAAGATTCAAAATCTTTAAAATTACGTCATATCATCTATTAGTACAGTAATTAATATATCAATTGACGCATATAGTATTACTCTTGTCTAAAACTAGTATGTTTTACCCAAAGAAAAATGTTTAGCACTCTTGAACTATCATTATTAAATTTATCTCAAATAATGTGAATTGTTATGCATTAGTTGTTCATTTGTGTTGTAATTAACCAATTAAGATTTAACTCACTGCTATGTTAGAGTGAAATAAAATTTTAAAATTTTTTAATATCTATGAGAGGGTAATTTATAAGTAAATTGGGCCGAGCTAGGTAATGGGCCATTCTGTGGGCCGTAGTAAAAAGGGGTGAGTAAAAGGGCCTGGTAGTTACCACGGTCCAAAAGAGTTTTGTAGTTAGCTCGGTCGGCATGGTCAGAACGACAACAGTTAGCTCAGTCAAAACCACATTGAGCCGAGGTATTTTGGGCTTTTTCTCAGGACCTTACTGTTGAATAGCTCGGTCTAAACACGTTATGGATAGCATGGTCTCAACAGGTGAAACCGAAGTACTAGTAACAGAGGAGAGAACCGAGCTAGGTTGAGCTCGGTCGTTTCGGCAAGTTTCGCATGGCTATGTTATCTCGGTTGTATTGACATCCAACCATGGTAAAACCATTTCACTTGGTTTAAGCAGTGAGGGGGGTATTGAAGGATAAACATTATCTTTCAAGAATGTGATTCCTAGGAGGACTCTACATGAAGGAGTAAGAGTCCTACTAAGATTGTGCCACACGGAACCTATAAAAGCTCGTAACATTACCTATGGAGAGGTAACACAACTTTGATTCCTGAATACACGGAGCTTTTTGTCTATTTGTCTATTTTTCTGACTTAGGTATCGGAGAGGTATCCGGTACACCCCCGCTGGCTAGCTCACGTTTGTGTTTTCAGGGAGTAAAGCGACGTCGTACAGAGGAGCGCAAACTTGATCAATAGGATTATACGAGAAGATTATTTCTTGCTCGTACAATTGGCGCCGTTTGTGGGAATCACAGAAAGAACAAAATCTCTTTATCAAAGTTTTCCTCGCTAGATTAGACGTAATGGCACACAATGAGGATTTGCCGCAGTCTGCCATTGACGGGTAAACCCCGGAGGGAGGTGGGAGGCGCGAAGGCTTGCCTTCCATCCCTCCCATGGCAGATCTGGAGCCCCAGCGACAGAATCCCCAGAGGGATGCAAGGGGAATGCGGGGTAACAGCCCCCGTCGCTCATCAAGTCCAGATAGGCAGAGGAGAAGGATCGACCCTCAAGCCTTGGAGGATCGGGTAAAGGAGCAGGACGAGTTAATCAGAAGGATGGCGGCGGACATGGAATTGATGAAGCGCCAGATAAAAGGGAAAGGGGTGGTGACAGGAAAGGAGCGCAAAAGCAATACACCTCCTCGCCACTCTGAAGATCGTGGTAGGCATACCACGCCATCGCAAGCAGAGAGTAAAAGCCTCAGGACATGCGACACTCAATAAAGGACTTCCAGAACTCATTACTCCAGGTCTGAGAGAACGAGATCATTGAGGTCTTACACTGAAGGAAGTACCTATCGGCCCTCACATACGCACCAGATATCATCCAGGCAAACGGAGTTGCCTAGATCATCCGACTTACGGACTGTGCTTGAAGAAAGGGCACGACGGAAGGAGGATGCCAGGACACGTGACCCGCACAGAATTTCAGCCCTTCAGCGGTTGGCTCCTCGGATGCACGGAAGCGTCGAGGTAGGAATGCCAATACCGCACCTTGCCTACGAACCAACAGATAAAGTATTGGCAAGACTACATAGCTCGCCGTTCGTCCCGGCGATTGAGAATACACCCTTACCTTCAGGCTTCATCTAGCCTAAATTTACGACTTACGAGGGGAAGACAGACCCTTACATGCACCTAAACCACTTTCGCCAGGTCATGGCAGTATATAGGCGGAACGAGGCTTTGATGTGCATCCTATTCCCATCCAGCCTTGGCGACCTAGGTTTAACCTGGTTCGAAAGGCTATCAAAAGACAGCATAGCCTCCTGGGCACAATTAACAGAGGCGTTTGTAACAAGGTTCAGAACGAACACCAAGACGCCAGTGGAGATTGATCAGCTACTCTCTATTAACATGGGCGACAAGGAAACATTGAGATCCTACAACAGTCGCTACTGAGAGACATTTAACCAGATAGGGGACTGCCCTACCAATCTCGCCATCGCACAATACAAAAGAGGACTTCCAGTCAGAAACAGATTGAGGGATTCAATTACAATGACTCCACCTCTCACGATGGAAGCCTTGATGGAGAGAGTGCACCAACATATTCGAGTAGAGGAAGATGGCACCCGTGCCAAGGCAAAATTTGGTGTAACAGCAACACCAGATAAGAAGACTACGGCAAAAATCAACACGGTAGAACGCTCAAGCAAGAATGGACGAGGCAGACGAGACAACGAAGAGGACAGAGATAAAAGATGGTTGAGAGTCCGCACTGCCATTACCACGGTATTCAAGACACCAATCTACCGAATTCTCAGCGAGATACGCGATGAACCTTTCATTAAATGGCCAGCTAAATTGGGAGAGGCACAGAAGGACTACGACGAAAGATCTCGGTATACCTTCCATAAAGAAAAGGGGCACCGAACTGAAAACTGCACGCCGTTGAGACGGTATATGGAGGAGTTAGTGGCAGCTGGTCACCTCGACTGGTACATAGAGGGAGGGACGCAGCCAGCCCCCCAAAACCACGATCACCCAGACAGAACACCGATTGACGCCCCACCTCAAGGCGTGATAAACGTAATATATGGGGTATTCGAGCCTGAGCGAGTATGTGAGCTCAGGGGCATGATAAAGAAGGCTAAGCACTTAAGGGAGGTATTGAGTGCACAGCCCACCATTAAAAAGGGAAAAACAGAGGCCACAAACGTCATGTCTTTTTCAGACAGAGACTTGGCAAGGATATATTGCCCTCACAACGATGCACTGGTCGTCACTCTCCGCGTCAAGGATTACGACGTCAAGCGAATTTTGATCGATCAAGGGAGCTCATGTGAGATAATGTACTACGAAACTTTCAAACAGTTGAATCTGGAAGACAAAGACTTGGCACCTGCCGTATCTCCCCTGATCGGATTCAACTCAATGCCAGAGTGGCCAGTCGGCAAGATAATCCTCCCAGTCAGAGCAGGAAGCATGACTAAACAAGTGGAATTCTGGGTATTGAAAGTCCCTTCCACTTATAACATAATTTTGGGGAGAACATGGCTGCACGCCATGCGATCGGTAGCGTCAACCTACCATCAAGTAATGCGGTTACCCAACGAAGCTGGAATAATTGAAGAGGTCTACGGAGACCAAATTATGTCTAAGCAATGCTTCGTCACGATAAATAGCAGCCGAGTTGCCAAGGGGTTTGTTCTGATTGGGGAAGAGCCCGGGAGTAATGAATTGTTTGCGGATGTTGGCAAAGCTGCTGAACAGAAGGCAGTGGAAGACTTGGTACAGGTAAGAATAGATGAAAAGAACCCGGATAAGTTCTTTTTGCTTGGCTCATCTATGTCCAGCACTGAGAGAATAGAGGTCATGGAATTCTTGACCTCTAACATCGAAGTGTTTGCCTGGACGCCGTATGACATGCCTGGCATTGACCCAAGCTTCATCTGTTACCCATTGAATATCCACCCAACTGCCAGACCAATTATACAGCGCATTCGCAGATCGGCACTCCACCATGCCGAGACAGTGGCAGAAGAAGTGGAAAACCTGCTAGAAGCAGGAGCTATCAGAGAGGTGCATTACCCCAGATGGATCTCCAATACAGTAGTGGTACCGAAGAAGAATGGAAAATGGCGTGTCTGTGTGAACTATAAAACAGTCAACAAGGCATACC